ATACAGGCAGACAACCGGCTGCTGCTGTGGAATTAGTGAAGCAGCTGCCTCTGCCTTTGCATCTAATACTCCTCTCCTGTCCCTTCTCCTGCCCCTGCAGCTGCTGCTGGCTGTGCTGCGTCGCTGGCATCCCCGGCCGCATTACGTATGCATGACGCTGGCGCTTGCCCCAAAACTCCAAGCCGCTGCCGTCCAGCGCGTCGATGGTGTAAATGCTTGAAAGGAATGAAAAACGTGGCAGCCAACACAGGAGTGAGCGGGCATGTAGTAACAGCATTGCTTAGCGAGAGAGGAGATACTCTCCCTCTCTCATTCGCTCTTTTTGCTGGCCCTTTTTGGCCAGTTCAATGCTGATTACGATCGCTGCTTTGGCCATTTGTTTGGCCGGTGCGACAGAGCTGGGCGCATTTGACTTCTGTTCGTGTCCCACGTTGATAATTCGAAATTTGTATTCCAATCTTCAAATTGTCTCCAAAATGGAATTGATTTTATGCAGATGAGCATGAAATTGTCTCAATGCGAATTTACCATGTTAGTGTAAATAAATGCCGCACTGTCGCCGAGCTACACTACGTGACACGCCCCCAGTTTCCACGCCCGCCCCGAGCCAGCGAGCTTGAGTGCATGCAAAGGGTGCGCCGCAGCTCAGCGCCTGGCGATTTTACTTTGAGTCATGCCGCATCGATTTATGACTCGGAATCAAATTGAAGCGCTGTTAGCTTTTGGCCAGCAAATGAAGTCAATTCAAATAACAGAGCCACTCATAAAATGCTCGGGCAAAGCCACTTTAAATAGTTGGCTAAGCAAAAACCGAACGCCCAGCCAGACCACCCAACCCACCCAGCCCCGAACCACTGAAACCACTTCAAGCAATGCGCGCGCTTGCATTTCATTTGAATTTACAACTGTATTTAATCTGATCGATGTAACTGCAACCAATCCAACCTCGCCCACACGCCCCCACGCCTACTCATCCGGTTAGCCCATGCCGCCAGACAAGCCAATAAAATGTTAAAGGCGAACGAGAGAAATGAGATGAGCAAATCGCATAAAAATTCGCTGGAATATTTGGGAAAAAATTCAGAGCAGCGAAAAATGCTGCCCAGTCAATGGGCCAATATGCAAACATGGCCACAAAAGATATGTATATATATGCATACATATATACATATATATTTATATATATTTCAAAAATTTCAAACATCCTGCCAACGACAATAATCGTGATGATGATGATGATGAAGCTGACGATGTTGTTGAATGCCAATGTGGACGTAGTAGCTCTGGATGCTGATTGCTGAACGCTGCTACATGTCTGGGCCAGGCCAATAACAAAATTGGCCAAAGGAAATTTAAGGACAGCCGCAATTCATTGACTCTGTGATGGATTTCAGCTATTCCTCGCCTCGCCTCGCCCCGCCTCTCCACAACACTCGCTGCTCTACCGATATTATCGACTCCTATTTGTTTGCACTGCTGAGTAATTTGTGTTTACATGCAGTGGAGCTGGCGCTCACGCTCTGTTGCATAATATCGCACACGAGCTGCAAAACATATAGAAAGTGCCGTTATGTGAGTGCGATGAAGTATCGATAAGGCGTCTTCAAGTGGCCAGGAAATTGCAAATTGCTGGTTGAGTCGACTCAGGCTCGCCAGCCATTCATATGCTGCGCATTTATACATCACATTCGAGCCATTCACAATTTGTAATGATAGTTTAGCTTTCTCAAAAATAAATATTGGCTCTGGCGATAAGCGAAGAGTGTAGAGTGGAGAGCGGGGTGCGGGGTGCGGGGTGCGGAGTCCTCGTGGATTGCCATTCAGTGGCATTCGCTTCGGCAATTTATTGTTTATGCAATCGGGCATTCGTTGCTTGTGTGATATTTTACAGCATTTCTTCGATGGGTTGCGCCAGACAAGACCAGGCCAGTCCATTTCACTTTCGTTGTCCTCTACGGTAAAAATCTCATGCATAAGTTTTCATCTTATTTACCCGAGCCAAACAAACGACAAACCGCAAGCGCGCCAGTTCGATGCAGCAGCATCTGCATCTGCATCATCACGATCTCGAATTTCTCTATAAATCAACTATGCAATTTTAATTCAAACACAAAAGAATTTCCACCGCACATGCCGCACAATAGATAAGCCCACACAGACTCGCTCGCCGAGACTTGGGGGCATTGTTAGCATAAACCAATTGTAAGAGCCAAAATAGCGACAACCTCCCAACTAATGCGCTCAACGCGCCCCAAAGATACACTGAAGAGACTCAGCCTCAGGCCGGGGGCATGAGTAGTTGCCCCCCGGGGAGTGCGGGCCAAAAGCTGCACGAGGCACGGGCCAAAGGCTTGGGACTCTAGCCAAAATATGTAGTATAAATAACCGCATTCGGGTATGTGTGTGTGTGAGTGTGTGTGTATGCGAAATATTTTGTTTAACGTTTATAGTTTTATGCACTTAAGATACGAAAATATTTTTTGGAAATTTATTTTTGAGCTGCAGACAGAAACAGAGCCAAGAGCCAAAAGCAGAGCCGAAGCTGAAGCCGAAGCCAAAGCCAAAGCCAAAGTAAAAGCAAACGCAAAACTTTTGCCAATATTTGTAAAAAAGATATTGATTGGCCTGAGCTGCATACACTCCGCACTCCACACACACATACACACACATGCACGAGTCCTGCTTATGCACATAAATTTATCCTTTCAATAAGACATGCCTTGTGTGTGTGTATGTGTGTGTGGGGTTTGTTCGTTGCCACCCAACATCACTGCTCAATTGTTAGTGCAAACACAGTGCACGGGTATGAACACGCCCTCGACACGTCGCCCATGGCACCACACCGCACCACACCGCACCACCTCGCACCGCCCTGTCCCCATCCCGTCCCGCTCCAGTCCACTTGACTGCTGCATAAGTAAACGTCAGCGGATAAATTGCCACAGTTGTTGCCGCACTCGGAGACGTAGTCAAAAATTTTTGAGTTGAGTTTTTCGTGCATGATAACAACTGTGGCAACAGTTTGAGAGCCATTGAAGCGAAGTGGCAGACCAAGCAGCATATATGTATCTGCATATACATACGCTTGCATGTATATCTGTATATCATATGTTTCATTTACAAATATATTTATTGCAGCAGCTGACTTCACATTCGGATTTATTTCTTGAGCCATGCCAAAGGTTATGTTTGCTTTATGTTAAATGCTCGAGCATATTATTGCAATACGATACTCCAGCGAGTGCTTATCGAAATTTACGCATTTATTTGCCTTACACACACATATATACATATATATATATATAAAGCCTTGTTGTTGTTGCTGCTCGAAATGTTTGAACAAAAATGTTAGGAAAATATGAACTGATGCTTATCGATTGTGAAATATGATAAGTTTGCTTGGAGCCTCGGCAAACATGCAATGCATATGCATGTGTGTGCCTTTCTCACTCTCTCCCTCTCTCTCTCTCTCTCTATCTCTCTCTCCCTCTCTCCCTCTCTCTCTTCGTCTTGCATATATTTAATTTGTTGGCACAACCAAAGCCAGGCAAAAGGGCGGCTGCATTATTTCATTATTTGTGTGCATTGTTGCCGGACTTATGAATGTGTGTATGTATGTGTCTGTATGTGTGTGTGTCTGACCCTGTGTGTGTGTATTTTCATATCATGTACACTAGTTTGTTTGCGTGTCAGCCAGACCGCAGAGAGCGAGACAGAGGTAACCAGACAAGGCCCGACCAATTCCGGCCAAACCCAAACCCAAGCCCGAGCCCAATCCCAATCCCAAACACAAGCCCATGTCCAATCGGCATTCCCTAGCCCAATTTCATGGCCCCGAGCAATTGCAGTCGAATTCCTTTGGTAGCTAATAAATATTAAAGTTTAATTAAATATGCTTTTCCCCCAATATTTATGTGCGTATCGATTACACTGGGCTTGGCCAGCGAGCGCGCGGTCCATTGGCCTGCACCAATGCAATTTCGCTCTTGGTCAGCGCCATAAATTGCAGCCTTGAAGCTTGAAAGCTGAAAGCTGAAACTGAAGCTAAAGCCGAGCCAAAGGCCATTAAAATACATTTTTTTTACTCGCTTTCATTTTTATTTTATTTTTTGTTTTTTTTTTTTCTTTTTTTTTGCCGCTTTACATGGGCCGAAGTGTGGGCATGGGCTAAGCTAAAACTCATATTAAAAATTGACTTTTATCGTGATTTACAATCAAGTTGGCCTTTTTTAAATGCCGCGGTCGACATGCGGGTTGCCCGCCCATTCTCTCTCTCTCTCTCTCTCTCTCTCTCTCTCCCACTCTCTCTCTCTCTCTCTCTCTCTCTCTCTGGCCTTTCTTCACTCGATGTTTGTTCGTGTTAGTGTTGCGGTCGAGCCAAGTATTACAAGCCCAAACACACACACACACACATACTTATATACATGTATATATACCACACACTCATCAGTGGGTAGCGCAAAATATTTCTTCGTGGCTTAAGCGAGACGGGCAGACATATTTAAAGCCCTGCTGCTGCTCTCCAGTGAGCCCAACATCCGACACGTGGTCTAACACTTTCTGTGGCATTTTGCAGCTGAAATCCTTTTAACTAACGGCTAACGGCTAACGGCCAACAACGCCATGCCCAGCGTATAAGCCGCATGCTAAGGTACTTAAGAAGCTGCCTTTATAATTCTGCTGCTCTTCGTCTTCTTCTTCCCCTTCTACTTCTATCTTGACTCGTCCATACGGAAATCCAATTCCCAACACCTTTTATTCGCACATGCAATTCTATTGGATTTCTTGGCAAGCGACACTTGACTTTCAGCTTATGCACTTCATTGCGGCCATCCTCAGGCTTTCTAGGTCACTTTTTGCGGGGTGAAGTAATAATTTAATATAGAATTTATAAACTTAAGCGAAACTCCCAGTCTCTCCCTTTAAAATAATTAGATAATAAGAGGTTGTTCATTGAAATGTTAATATTATTTTAATGCCTATTCATCTGTCATTTGCAGAGACTGCCGAGTTGTGCGCGATCCGCAGACACTAAAATCAAAGGGCTATGGATTCGTCAGCTTTGTCAAAAAATCGGTAAGTCGTCACCCAACTAGCTTAGCTGTCACACCCGAACATCAAAGGCCATCACAGCCAGCAGCACTTAACAACAGCTAAAGAAAATAGCAACAAAAAGCTCAACGTGAAAAAAATTAATATATTATGTTATTCTTCAACATGTCAGTTTCTAACTCGCTAACCACATTGATTGATAGCAACTATTTTCATTAAATTAAATTAAATTTAACAACTACAAAATAACTACAAAATAAATTAAGTTAG